CGGGGGTAGGGGGCTGCCTTGTGGGGCTGGTGGATTGGCTCCCGTCTCCCCAGTGGCCTGGTGTGGGAGTGGCCTCTCCTGCCCCAGATCACCAGACACACCTGTCCCATTCAGCCTGCTGGGAGAGGGGCGCCCTGGGCGGTGCCTTTAAGGTGCGGGGGTGGCGATGGCGGGGGTAGAGGATCTGCAGCGCGGAGCCTGTCAATTTGCTCCCCTCTTCTCCGCGGCCAATCCTGGGGGCGTCCTCTGCTGCCCAAGAAGCCGGATGCCCGTCTCCAGGTCAGCTTGCTCCTGGGAGGCGGGCGCGATGCGGTCGAGGGGCAGAGGCAGCTGCGACGGCCGGCTGCCCCGCCAAATGGGGCCACTTCTTCTCCTCTCCCCTGACCTGGCCTGGGGACGGCCTCTCCCGCCCAAGATTCGCCTGACACCCCACACCCGGTCAGGTTGCTCCTGGGAGGTGTGCGCGGTGAGATCAAGGGTTGGAGAGGAGAGGGGGCTGCCCCTGGCGAGCTGGAGGATAAGCTGCCATCTCCCTGGAGGCCTGACGTGGGGGCGGCCTCTACTGCCCCTTGTTCCCAGGTAAACCTTCTGAGGGTCATATTGCCCCGGGGGTGAGGTAGGGTGTGGGGATGGCGGGGTTTCGCGGGGGTATGGAGCCTGCCGCTTGGGATCTGGTGGTTTAGCTCCCATCTCTTCCCCAGCTTGGCCTGGGGGCAGCCTCTGTTGCCCCAGGTCGCAAAGCACAGTTTCCCTGACAGCTTAGCCACCGCAGGTGGGCAGGATGTGCTGAGGGGGCGGAGGCAGCCGCCAAGGCAGCGACGGAGGGGGCTGTCCCTGGCCAGCTGGTCAATTTGTTGCCATCTCAACTTTTGCTGCCCCAGTTTCGCAGGACGCCCTACTCCAGTTTATCCTTCTCCTGGGTGGTGGCCGCAGTGCCTGCAGCCCAAGGTCTGGGCTCTCACCTGGGGAGGGGCAGAACTCTCTTGTTCTCCTTTGTCTTTATTCTTCAGCGAAGTGGTTACTGGACCCAATTCTTAATTCTGAGAAAATGTAGCCTGTGTTACGGAAGAGCTGCTGGACAGTGAGGATCCTGGGTGGGTTTTCACATCTGCTGATGCCCCAGGCAGGCAGGAAAGGTATTACTCAGAGCTTCTTAGTCTGGTGTTGGGGGATGGCCGCGCCATCTTCACCATGCTTTTTAAAAATGTGTTACTCCCCTCTTTTTCCTAGGTGACATTTTAGGTTATTGGGTCACAGATTGCTGGCACATTCAACCCTGTTCTCAAACATCTTTTACACTTGGGTGAAGTGATAAGTAAGGAAGATGATTTACTGAAAGATAAGAATACTTAAATTTGCATTAAAGCTACATTCTGTCAATCTTTCTCAAATGATTTTTCTCTGATTCTAAATCCACGACCTACTGAATGTTGTACTCCTATGTAAATCATTGATCTTCACATCACATTTGTTGAGTGGTAAATGAGATTTGTTAAGTAGATTATTCCTGAAAGGAAAAGCTCAGGCTTTTGAGAATTCCTAGTCTGATGTCACCCAGGCAGTCACAGTTGAAGACAGAACTGATATAAAAATCCCTCAGCTGCCTGAACTGCAAAGCTTCTGGAATTATTGATCCCTGAAATGCAGGTGACTCTTGATGATAATCTGGGGGATGGTTTATATGATCAGATTCTTCCAGTCCTGTAAATGGGTTCCGTGGCCCCAGCCCCAGGAGAACTGGTCATAAGGGCCATATCGTGTAGGGTGGGATGGAAAGGCAAGGTGTAAGAGCTGGAATCACTGAGATTCCACACTCGCTACACACAGACTCCAGAGCCTAATTGTTGTCAGATTCTGTTCTGTACTTGAGAGTGTGTTCAGACATGATTCTTGCCCTTCTGGGGTCACTGCCTGGGTGGAAGTAACCTTTACATAAATCTGGGAAGGATGGCAATTAAGTAGATGGGCTGTTATGGTTCTCAGTGTGCCCAGGCTCGCTCTTCCAGGCACTCGTGTGACTAAGGAGAGTCATGTTATTCACTCATTCACTGATTTATTACCCTTGAATTGATAATTTTTCCCACAGTAAGTGAAACAAGGGATCAGGAACCTGAGTTTTATCCCCTCTCCTATCACTGATTGTATCTGTCAGTCGGGAGCCCTGCGTATGCATTGTGAAATGGTGGTATTTCTTGCCCAATGGGGCTGCACTGTGAGTTCTGAGAATCAGGGGAGACACGTGGGTAGGACAGCACCCTGACACACATGGCCCCCCACCCCGTGAGACTGCATTGTCGATGCTCATGTGACCCGATGCATACGGCGGTGCTACACCTGAGCATGTTTAGTGATCTTGGTGGCTATGAAAATACAGACTACCGGTCCCTACCTCTTGAGACTCTGAGGGTGTGCACCCCAGAATTCTGCATTTTAAGAAGCACTTTAACTAATTCTGATGAAGATGATCTGAGTGTCCCACTGAGAAACACTGGTGTGCGAGGAACCAATATTGAGGATTCTCAGGGAGCAATTTCATTTCAGGATTGTCCAAGGGCCCTCACTTGTGACTTTTGCATTGGGTTTAATTGTATGTGTTCAGAGTGATGTCTCTCACTTCCAGTGCTTGTCAGCATGCTCTGTGCAGGGATTTGTTCTCACTAGCTATCAAAAACTGTGATTCTTCAGGTCACCAAGCTAGAGTGTGAGCGATCTTTTATTTTGGTTTTCTTTATTGCAATGCAGAGTCTCCCGAGAAGAGATTCAGACTGAACAGCTTTGTGTCAGAATTTGGAAGACCGCTGGTGCCCAAGGTGTTGTGTGGCAGGGCAATGACGAATCTAGGTCCCTCTTTCACTGCTACATCAGTGAAGTGGACCACTTGGACAAGGCCAAAGCTGGTATCTCATCCATTGCCCTTGACAATGATATTCGGCTCCAGGAAGCCATCAGATGCATCAGGTGGCCAGAGGAGGAGCCAAACAAGCTCATGAAATGTGACATCCCCAACTTCATCAACACGGACCAGAACTCTTCCTCTGGGGAAGATGATCTCCTGATTTTGGAACCACCGATTGTTCTAGAAAATAAGGCAGTTGCCCAGACCTCACACAAAGACTTGAATAGAGAAACGTGCTTTGTCAAGTGTCTTTCTGAAGATGTGAAGTCTGTCTTTGTATGGCAGGAATTCCTCTTTCACAAAGTTGTATGTGTTTTTGTCTGAGAGAGAGAAATGGAGACACACAGAAAGACGAAGAGACATAAGAGAGCCCCCTCAGAAGAGAGCTGGTTAAGGTGAGTTTTTGTGCCTTTAAATAACATTCGGGGTTTTGGGGGGAACAAATTATTTACACTATCTCATTCTCCTTGTTGGAAACCTTGGTCCCGTCCTCAGTGTCAGCATCCTTGAATGGGGGTTGGCACGGTGCATTTCATCAGGCGCTGCCATTTCCACGCTCTGCCTTTAGCACGTTGCTTTGTCTGTCAGGGCTGCCACCCTTTTAACTGTAAGGAGTGGAGTCTGGAGTAGATGATCCATCCAAGCTCTGCTGTTTTGCAAATTTCTGATTTCGCATTCGGATGAGGCTGTGATACACCCAGAGCAGTATAAACCAGGCCCTACCTCCTGCCTATTGCTGGGGAACCCCTCAGTTCTGTGCCTTCTACTCAAAACTTTACTGAGCCCAGCTTTTCTCAGGAGCCCAAATGACTACCGGAATGACAGGAGGCTTGTCTCTAGTGGTCACGGTGGCCGACATTTCTATTGGTTGTGCTGAAACAGCTGTTCTGAGATCCCATGGCCATCCTTGCTCAAACCTGAGGACAGCCCTACTCTTCCTTTCCTAGGAGGGGGATCTATCCATGGTGCATTTTATGACAATCCTGTCCCCAGAAATGCACAGAAGTTTATCAGCTGAGTGAGGTGAGGTGCCTCTGTGTCCCTGTGTCCCTGTATCTCGGTCTGCTCACAGTGCCCTGCCACCGGCTACTGAAAAAGAAAAGTGCTATTCACCATGCTGTGTGTGTTGCAGATGTGTTGGTGATGGTCTTGTGGCTCTTGTGTTGGCTTTGACCTGGGATGGTGAAGGGCTTATAAATACCTCATCAACATGTATTTGAGGTGGCCTGGTGCCACACATACTTGATTCATGAAGGCATCAAGCCTGCACACTGGTTTGGAAACAACTTGGTTTTGATCAGTCACACTGCATGCATGACTCGCTGCTAATATCTGGGTGATTTTTTCATTTTAGATCTATTCACCCCGTGTCTTGCTTAAGCTGAAAAATACATTTATTTCACCAGAATATTCTCTGATTCTTTGTTTTCACACATCCAGTGTTTTAATTCCTTTAAAAATGATTGTGTTTATAATGCCTCCTAATTTTTATAATCTCTAGGTTCCCAGTGGCCTGAGCCATGCACCAGATTTGACGTAGGAACTGTTCCACCAAAAGAAATCCCTTCACCATAATATCTTTTGAGGATAATATTATCCTTTAAGACTCTAACAGTAAATCATAGAACAAAGCATGGAACATTTCTTGTAGTTAATACATGTTCATGCAAAAAGAAATGATATTTTCATTAAACAATGTTGATTTTAATAACTTTTACAAATGTGGATATTATTATTCATAATTTAAGTAACCAGATAAAACCAGTTATTTATTATGAAGATTGAAAATTATTTACACGGTCTCTTAATCACAAGTAGCTTTATTAGAAGACTGAAGGATATTTAGAAGATGGAAAAATACCCATGATGACACCATCAGTTTTATTAACTAAATATCAAGAACTCTGCAGGGTTAAGATTTAACCCTCTGCAAGCTGCCAAGTTAGCATGAGGTAGTTTGTGGATGCTGCCAGAGGACAGGACACTCCCCCAGGATCAGAGACAAAGGACTCCCTGCCAGCACAGCTGGCAGCCTGTGGTTCAAGTTCATATTGGTTCCTGAGTTCCTTTCCTATTGCTGTTGTAACAAAGGACCACAGACTCAGTGGCTTAAAGCAATACACATTCATCTTCTCACTGTTCTAGGGTGCAGAAGTGCAAAGTCAATGTCACTGGGCTAAAGCCAACGTGTGGCCAAGGCTACATTCCACACCGAGGCTCTAGGGTGGGATTCGTCTTCCTACCTTTCCCCTCTTGCAGAGGTGCTCACACTCCTTGGCACAGGGCCCTGTGTCACTGTGACCTCTGCTGCCACTTTACATCTCTGTCTCTGACTATATAGATATAGAGGAAGAGTCTTCAACATCTGGTATGGACACTTTTTCCTAAATGGACATTGTATCCCTATTTATGTGCAGATGAGAACCCCTTCCCTCCAGGGTGCGGTGGCATCAGCTCACAAGGTGACCATTCTGGGCTTTAAGTGTCCTCTTTGTATTGTCACCTGGGAACTTCTCTCTCCATAGTTAGCTCTGTGTTACTTTGTTGTTGTATTTTACCCGGCATTACTGAAAGTTTTACTTAAAAGGGATCCTAATTAGCTCTGTTTACCTGTTTCCAGAGCTGAAACTTCAGTTCTAGAGTATCTGTTTGATTTTTCTTAAAAATACATTCCAGTATATTTCCCTGGTGAAAGTCTTTACCCTGTTATCTATTCTCCCATTATTTCCTTATTTTCTTGAATATATTAAAAGTGTTTTATAGCCTTTATTGGTAACTCTAATGCCTAAATTACCTGGGGGTTTGCATCCTTTGTCTAATGCTTTTATTCTCATATTGTCTGTCATATAGTCTGGACATGTTGCATGTCTAGAAATTCTTTATTACATGGCAGACATTGCAAATGAAAAATCCATATGTTATCTTCTGTGAGAGGTTTTCCACCTTCCCGTTAGGGAGACAGTGTGAGGGACTGATCATGTCACTCCAATCAGGCGCTGAGGTGGATCAGGATTAAAGTGCCTTTTTTCTTAAAACAGCTTTGAGGTATACTTGGCAAAATAATTTTCACACGTTTAAATCGTACAGCTTAATATGTTTTGATGTAAGTATATCCCCAAGAAACCATAACCACACTTAAGAAAGTGAACATACCCATCACCCACAAAGCTTCTCTCCTGCATTTTGTTGTCCCTCCCTCCCTCCCCATCTATTCCCCTGGAAACAATTGATCTGCTTTCCATCAGAACATATTGGTTTGCATTTTCAAGATCCTTCTATGAATGGATCCATGCAGTATCTAATCTGTGTTGTCTGACTACTTTCATTCAGTGTAATTATTTTGAGAGTCATCTGTGTTGCTGTATTAATAGCTTATTTATCTTATAGCAGAGTATTGTTTAGTGCTGAGTTATTGCTGAATAGTTTATTGTAAGCAGTGTTTGGATAGACCATCATTTCTTTCTGCATTTACTTCTTGATGGATGCATGGGTTATTTACAACTTGAGCTATTATAAAAAAAAATTGCAGTGAATATTTGGTTACAAGTCTTTGTATGGACATATGCTTTTCTTTTCTAAAGCACCAGATGAGGAATGTCTGGGTTATATGTTACATAGGTGTTTACCTTTTTTAAAGAAACTGTTAAAGACTTTTCCAAAAAGGGTTGTACTATTGTAAATTCCTCGTGGCGTGTATCAGTTCTGGTTGCTCTACTTTCTTGCCAGCACCTTGTAAGGTCAGTCTTTCTAATCATATTCATTCTAGTATGTATGTGAACTAGTATCTCACTGTGGTTTTTAAAAGTATTTCTCTAATGACATCTTTAATCAGCATCTTTTCATATGCTTATTATCCATCTGAATATCTTTACTGAAGTGTGTTTTCTGGCCTCATTCATTCATTCAGGTGTTTGCATTATTATTGAATTTTGAGATCTCTTTTTTCTGGATCAGATACAAAGAGAGACCTTTATCAGATATATGATCTGCAAATAGCTTCTGTCTACGGTTTGTCTTTTCACTTGCTTAGCAGTGTTTAGAAGAGCTTTGAAGAGTCTTCATGTTGATAAAGTTCACTCTATCAGTTTCTTTTTAAAATAGATGATAATTTTGGTGTCATATCAAAGAAATATTTGCCAAACCCAAGGACATAAAGCTTAAGCCTATGCTTTTTCTCCTAGCTGTTTTATAGTTTTAGATTTCCTATTAAGATCGATGATCCATTTTGAGGTAAATTCTGTATATTTTGTGAGGTGTGGATCAAAGTTCATTTTTTATTTTTTTGCGTATCACTATCTAATTGTTCCAGCACTACATGTTGAAAAGATCCTTTCTCCACTGCATCCTTTTTGAGAATCAATTGTCTATATAAGTGTTGGT